AAATCACGACACATTTTTAAGAGATACCAAGACACCTTTATGAGAATTATAAAAGAAAGAAGATTGAGACTTTGAAAGAGGTCCTGAAAGTACTAAGAAAATTTTTAAAGTTCAAAAATTGGGGAGTTAGTTGGAGAGATTTTCAGGCACCACATATTTATCCTTTTTTATTTCTAGTTTTATATTGAGAGTGTTGTAAAAGAGAAGTGATTCAAGGGAACTTCAAGAGTTTGGTGGAGGACATGAGATAAGTTTTTATCTTTTATTTTAGACTACTTTTAGTTTTAATTGAGAATTGATGTTGGTTTAATAATGATTTCTAATTTTAAACTAAAGTGTGGTTTTATTTTCTCCATGGATTCTGAGTAGTTTTCTTTATATTTCTTCTTGAAGTGGTAAGTAATTAAGTGTTGGATGGAAGTTGTGGAGAGTATTGATCTTTAATGTTGGATGAAGTTGTGATGATTTAAATCCATGTACTTCATTTATTTTATGATTTGGCCAATCTAGAAGTTAAAATTTGTTGTGAGAACATGTAAGTACCGGGATAGTATTGTCTCAGTCAACAATTTGAAAGAATCACATGAGGTTGTAAGAATGAGAATGTAGTTCATATGATTGAGTGCAAGTAAATAGGAAAATATTATTGAAGGGTGTAGAGTTAGAGGACTTTAAAGTGATAGGTTAAAGCCCCCAACTTGGTTTATTGTTTTAGGTTCTGATATAAGATGTTAGCCCCAGGTGGAGGGAATCGAGGGAACTCTATAGTGAAAGCTAGTTTCTTTCCTGCCTAGCTGATCTTCAGAACTTTTCAAACTTTAAATTAGCCAATGTTCTTTATAGCATATCTAGTAAGGGTAAAGAATATTATTGCTCCTATTTGGCACAAAAAAATATGCATACATCAACAATAGAATTCCTATACTTATTACCAATGTGGGTTCCATATTCAGGTCTTAATCAAAAAGCCCTATATTACTTGATAACGATACGTACACTTATGTAGTATCCCAATATATATATAAATTAAAAAGTTGAATTCTTATTTTCTCAAGATCAAGTTTTCGGTGTTGTTGCAAAGTAGGAAAGATAAGTGAATAATATAAATTGCATACATTGTTATATTGTTGCATATAAACAGTGAGGATCAAGATACATAATTATTATTCAGATTATTACAATCTAGGTTGGGAAAATCATTTGAGTTTTAATAAGAATAATAATTTGGAGGGGACGACCAATTTTGGTAAGATAATTAATTTAATTGGACATTTAGTTGGAATAATCGTGGCTATTATAATGATTAACTTTCTTTTCCTCATAATTTTGACTTCAACCCACGCAATGATGAGAAGGTTTCGTTAGAAGAGGTTGTGATTCAAATGAGAAGTGAGCTAGAAAATCAAGAGGTCGCAATAAAGAATGTAGAAAACCAACTAGGGCAGATTATTAATGTAATTAACAATTACCCTCACAGATTTTTGCTAGTGACCTTGACATAAACCCTAATGAGATGAATGATGAGCAACTTAAAATTATCAAACTCATATTTAGAAGAGAATTCGAGGATATGTTTCAAAAGAACTTTGAGTTGAGAAATAAGGATAAGGAGATTGAACCAATGGAAGAAATTCTAAAGAATTAGAAAAACATATTTCCCTAACTAAGATAAATATAGAAAGACCATCTCTACCATTTACTTAGCACCAAGGGGAAGAATTAAAAGACAAACCTTAAAAAAAGAGTAACCTTGAAGAATTTGATCCAGAATTTGAATTATCTAGACAAAATCCAATCCAAAATTTGGGAGATCATGAAGTATCTTACGAAAATCCATTTGTTATAAAATATAAGGAAGATATTAATATGAAATTTGAGAAAACCACTAGAAGAATATTGGATCTAAAAATATATATGAGGAACAAAGATATGAATTAATCTAAGAAAGAAGAGTTGAAATAAAAAATTAAATTTCAGGACTCTATGAATCACTCAATCAGGAAAGATTGGGTGATTGATCAAAAATTACTTAAATGGAATTTTGATCTAGTTGGTATCTTTTGTCGGGCTGACGACATTAAACAAAGTGCTTAATGGGAGGCAACCCATAGTTATCAGTGTTGTTTGATTTAGTGTGCTTGAGAGTTTATTTTTAGTTTTGTATTGTGTTTTCTTTAGTGTGGATTGATTAGTTTGATTGATGATTGGTAGATGTTTGGATTGTTACTGGTTTGTTTTGATTTTTGTGTGTTATGATGGAGATGATTCCTTAACTTATTATTATGACTAGACTTATATATTCTCTTGTAGTAGTTGGATTAACGAGTCCACTACGACTCGAGTCTTACCCGGACTTGAATCTTACAAGAGACAACATGAACTTTAATAGCGACAATTCCATCTCAATTTTGTTACTTTTTTTCTCTGACTTTATTTTCATTTGATAGGTGTGGCTAACCTGTTTGATGAGTAACATGTGGATGAATTTACACAATCCTTATAATTGCTAATGGTGCTTAATTAAGGGATATGGCGAAGTCTGGGGTTGGTGCTCGAGAACCAATATATCATGGATAATATTATCTTTGGGACTAGAATCTATAAAATCATTTACAAGTGCCCAATATATTTTTGTAGTTCTTTCATTAGAAATAATAAGTAAGTTAGTGAGATCCATTGAGTTAAGGAAGAATTGACCTCATTTGTCATGTGTGTTTATGTTTGTGTTACAATAAGATAAAGATTTGGAGAACACATAAATAAAAATATTCATATGTCGATACCTATTCTTCCTGTTAGATCTTATTTTCCATTTTATCAATCATGTTTTAGTTTAGACTTACTTTCTATTGCATATTGTTCTATCTTGGAATCTCAACTTTGCACATCAGGCAAACCTAACAAATCTCATCTGGAATTTATGGAAGTGTTTACTCTGTGACAGATTCTGATTCATCTTCTGTGACGGGCAGACTGGTAGAAGTTTTCCTCATGCAAGGATCATAGATTCCCCACTCAGGAATCGGGGTAAGTGTCACCTCTGTTTCTTTTATATGTCTTTTCTACTGACTTAGGAAAGCTCTTTGCTTACGGTTGTTAGCATTATGACTTTGTGTCCTTCTAAGTGGCGCATTCGGTACTCTTTCTTCATCTGTATTGACTAAGTTTCCTATTGGAGCGGTGATCATAGACTATAAATGGCTGGTTCCTTGCATTGGATGTTGTAGCTTCTATGCTTTCTTCCTCTTTAGTGAGGAGTCTTCCTTGGTACTAATTCTGAGGAGTGATATTAACCCTTCTATCTCCCAGTGGCTAACTATGCTCATCAGGGGACCCTCATAGTCTACAATGACTTGACCGAAGTCCAAGTCAAAGTCTACGATGCCACCCCGGGCCGTTCTTCCTTCATTTAGCGTGAGATTCAAGCCATCTTTAAAGGCAAAAATTAGCTTCTACCGTGACCTTTTCTGTAGAAGACAAAAAAAATATTAGTGCTCTAAAATTCAGAACAAACAAGAACAATACAGATTAGTTATCAATAGAGTTTTGAATTTATATAAGTGGAATTATTTTATTTATTTAATTTAATTTAGTGAAATCTTAAAATTAAAATGAAAGAAATAAAGGTAAGAAAATTCAAAATTTCATTTTATAGAGGTTAATTCTATTACGAAATTTTGGGCCCAATCACAGATGTTGGACAAACAAACATCCCAAAAACAAGTAAAATTTTCTAAAATTCATTTCAAACAATATCATGTTGTGTAGTATATCTTTAAATATTGGCTATTAATCAGCAACACAGGCCCTTCACCTCGGAAATTTGTTAGGTGGTAAGATCCTCCTAAAAAGAGATTCTCTACGACAAATGGTCCCTCACATGTTGGTTCAAATTTTCCACATATCTTGCAATGTGTATGAATAGAACTTTTGAGAACGAGTACGAGGTCACCAACTTTGAATGCCCTTGGGCTGACCAACTTCAACTTGTCATGAGCCTGCACCATCCTTCCTTGATAGAGTTCTAAATTCTGTTATGCATCTAATCGTTTTCCCGTGAGACATTCCAATTCTTCAAGTCTGAGCTTTGCACTTTCTTCTGTTGTAATTTGATCGATGATGAAAACTCTGAGAGCTGGTACTTGGACTTCTAATGGTAGTACGACCTCAGACCAATATACAAGTGCGTAGGGTGTACCTTTAGTTAGAGTTCGTCCTGTAGGCCCACAAAGTTTCCAAAAATAAATGATAATATCCTCCTTTATTCTTATCCAAAGTCTTCTTCAAAACTTGCACAAGCATCTTATTTAAGGCCTCGGCCAGATCGTTTTCCCTAGGATAGTAAATTATAGAGTATCTCTAATATATTCCGTGTCACTTGACAAAGTTGTTGATCTTGTTGCTTTTGAAGGCTGATTCATTATCTAAAATAATCCTGTACAACAGACCAAAATGGTAGATAATCTGACTCTTGAAGAATTAGAGAATGTTTTGTGTTGTAACCTCTAGTAACGACATTGCTTCTGCCCATTTGGAGAACTAATTTGTAGCTACAAGAATAAACCTCTGTCCCTTAGAAGATGGATGGTCTATTAGACTTATTATGTTTGTAACCCAACACTCAAATAGCTACGATGCAACAGTTGGATGTAGCACATTCAGAGGCTTGTGTAAGACCACCCCATGCACTTGGCGAACGTGACACTTTTTGTTGTCTCCATGCAATTGAATATCATTGTTGACCAATAATATTCGAGCCTTTTAATCTTCATGTTCATCTTTATCCCTGATTGGTGAGCTTCACACTATCCGACATGTACTTCTATGAAGATATTCTGTTCTTCAGCTCTACTTAGACATCTCAGCCACATCTGATCAAACAATCGTCTGTAGAGGACATCACTCGATAGAGCATACAAGATAGCTCTTCTTGTGATGTGATATGCTTTTGACTTCTCTAGTAGCTTTTCTGCTTACAAATATTCCATCAATGGCTTACGTCAATCTTTGTTAATGTCAGCTACTGTGATCGTCATCTCTTCTTCTTTTCTGAACATCTGTAGATTGTTGAGGCCGATCTCAGACAAAACCTGACATTCTTGTACTGTAGTGTCAAGGGAATCCTCCAGTGGACACGCCAGTTCTTTAGCAAGTTTCGCTAGAGTGTCTTCATGGGTGTTATCTCCCTGAGGAATCCAGTATAGAGTCACACTAAGGATCTGTTCCAACAACTTCATTTTATACCGATGTTATTCTGCTAGCCTTGGCTTCAAAATATTATACTGTTTGATAGCTTGTGGGTTGACGAGTTGTGAGTCGCCATAGATGGAAATATCTGTTCTATCCATTTAGATTGCGAAATCCAATCCAATGATTAATGCTTCATACTCTACTTCATTGTTTGTACACAACTCTGTCAGGTGATAGGACAATCTCAGCATACCCTTATCAAGCATGATGAAAATCAGACCAATTCTTGCTTTGACTAGTATAACCATTTCTGATCCTTTGTCCTTTCTGGCTAATTATCAAGTAATATAGGACTTTTTGATTAAGACCTGAATATCGAACCCACAGAGAATATTATGCAATATGCACTTTTTAGAAAGTTTTTCTATTTTTATAAAGACAATTACTTAACTAAAATTTATTTTTGCGGAAATTTAAAATTTAAATATTTTTGGTATTTTTGATATTTTAACGAAATAGTAACAACTTAAAAAGATAACTAAAATTTTTGTAGAAGAAAAGTACTTAATAAGAAAATATCTTTCTTCTTATCATGAATCAGTAATAAGTATAGGAATT